AGGTTAAGTTGCATGGTAACTTTCCATTGTGAAGCAATATCAGAAACGTCATGCTCAAATATGACATTGAACAAGTTTGGATAAGCTGTCGTGTGATGTTTTTGTTTTTTGTTATTGGTCTGAAGGTCAAGTTTAGCAGAACATGAATGTCAACAAACAAAATGAAGCAAATTAATTGCAATGCTAATTTCAATGATATCCAGAATTGCTGTTTATCTGCATAAAAATATGCTTAAACAGTGAATTTTGTGTGCCATAATTTTGTTTGTTTAATTCAAGAGCAAACATGTGTTTTATTTGATAACATCATACTTACATCTGGCTCAGTATTTTGTGGGTCAGTGGATAAACAGCGAACACTCAGAAAAACAATAAAAAATACAAATTTCAATACATCGCAGAGAAAAAAAAGACTCTATTATCTACTGCATTTTCCCCCTTTTAAACAGGAAAAAAAACCTTCATAAAGTGCCACCATATGCTTCAACATAATCTCTGAACATATCAAAGAATATGAACATTTCAGCCTCTAAAACTGCAGTCTTCCCCAAGACCTTTAATCATAATGAACCCAAGTGTAAATCCATTGTTTGAATTGAATCACTTGAACTGAGACAGCCTCTCCTCTCAAATTAACATGCGTGCTTGCTAATTATTAATACTTCCCTAGTAGGCTAGTCACTCATCATGGGGTCAATAACCCATGACAGCGGTATTTATTTATGCTTGGCATTTCAGTGGCACTCACTAACAGATGCATCCGTGGGCCTGATGACTCCCACGCAGAGACAATTACCGCGGTGTCACTAAGCAGGGGATCACGATTCTACACGTGAGTGGATTGAAGCTGAAGGACGGTGTTAAGGTTGAGTGGAATCTGGGGAGCGTTATGAAGAGGCTGTTAGTCAGGCCAGTGGGGTTAAAGGAAGAACTATTGGAGGGAAGTGTCCGGTCGAGTTCTTCCTCTACAATCATTCATACTTTAAAGGGATACATCACCCAGAAAATTCACCCTGTAAATTCTTTTTAGGAACCTAGACATGCTATTTGATAGCAATCTTTCCTTAGAAAAACATGTTTCTAGCATTTGTAAAAACTAATTTTTCCATCTTAAAAATATATCTAAATTACGACCTATGCTCTCAATTTCAAATGTAGAAATGTTAATTCATGCGTTCATGACCTCAAAGTTAGATTATTGTAATGCTTTATTGGGTGGTTGCGCTGCACGATTAATAAACAAACTACAGCTGATCCAAAATGCAGCAGCTAGAGTTTTTACTAGAATCAGGAAGTATGACCATATTAGCCCGGTTCGGTCAACACTGCACTGGCTCCCCATTAAAGACTGTATACATTTTAAAATCTTGCTAATTACTTATAAAGCCCTGAATGGTTTAGCACCTCAGTATTTGACAAGCTCTTATCGCATTATAGTCCTTCCCATCCGCTACGATCTCAAAACTCTGGCAATTTGATAATACCTAGAATATCAAAATCAACTGCGGGCGGCAGATCCTTTGTTTCATTCTTTTTCCGAGGTCACCGTAGTCACCCGGATCCAGTCCGTATCCAGCCCAGATGGTGGATCAGCACCTAGAGACAACCTCGACTGCCCTGAAATGTCAGCGGAGACCAGGAAATATAGATGTGCCCCAGAGACTGATCCACTCCGAAGACCTCGTCTCCTAGACGGCCACCGGGACAAGACCACGGGAACCAGATGAGTCCTCTGCACAATCTGACTCTGCTGCAGCCTAGATTTAAACTGCTGGTTTTGTCTGGCCAGAGGAGAAAGACACACTATTTCGACACACTATTTCCCCGTTTAATACTGTAAAGCTGGTTTGACACAATTTGCATTGTAAAAAGCGCTATATAAATAATGGTGACTTGACTTGACCAGAAATAAAACTTATGTCCTTATTTACTCATCCTTCTGTCTTTCCAGACCTGTGTGCTGTTAGTTTTCCATGGAAAGCAAAATGAGAACAGTTGAATAATCATAAAGGGATAGTTCACCCAGAAATGGAAATTATATCATAAATTACTCACCCTCATGTCATTCCAAACCCATAAGACCTTTGTTCATTTTCGGAACACAAATTAAGATATTTTTGATGAAATGATTTTGATAAAATAACAACATTATTTAAAAATTCTTCTCCTCCGCGTCACCCTAGGGTGCCATTTTGGAGAATACCACAACGCATGTGCACACTTTCCTCTGAATATAAACAAGGCGCAGCGCATGCGTGTTCTACGTCAGCAGCATCACATGCACGCGTTGTTTACGTGCAGGAATAGGACTCGCATGTGTCATGTTGTTCTCCAAAATGGAGCCCTAGGGTGACATGGAGGAGAAGAGTTGTTGAATAAAGTTATTATTTTAGTTTTCTTTGCGCACAAAAAGTATTCTCGTAGTTTTATAAAATTACAGTTAAACCACTGATGTTACATGGACCATTTTAACGATGTTCTTACTACCTTTCTGGACCTTGACCTTGGTAGTACCCTTGCTGTCTTGAGGGTCAGAGAGCTCTCGGATTTCATCAAAAATATCTTAATTTGTGTTCTGAAGATGAACGAAGGTCTTACGGGTTTGGAACGACATGAGGGTGAGTAATTAATGACAGAATTTCATTTTTTTTGGGTGAACTATCCCTTTAACGAAGCTCTTTTTCCATGTTGTGAAGTTTCTATGTAACTAGCACCGCCAATATTTTTTTTTTCTTTAATCTTTTCCCATCTGCCATTGGTCAAACAAACAGATAGCCCCGCCCCTAATCCATGTCATTGGTTAAAATTGAGTCTCGAACTTTAAAGATTCTTCAAAAATTCTCCTTTTGTGTTTCTAGGGGGGAAATTTTGAAATATTACTGAAAATTTAAAAATACTGTGAACATTTAAAATAAGTTTTTTATTTGAATATGTTTTAAATATAATTTATCCCTGTGATGTAAAGCTGAATTTTTCAGCATCATTACTCAGTCTTCAGTGTCACATGATCCTTCAGAAATCAATCTAATATATTGATTTGCTGCTCAAGAAACATTTCTTATAATTATCAATGTTGAAAACAGTTGTGCTGCTGTGATAAAAAAATTTTCACGATGAAAAATATTTTAATATCATTGTTTTTACTAATAGTTTGAATTTGTTTTTTATTTGTATTTTCTGTTTTCATTATGATTTTAGTTAATTTGTGTTTTGTCTTTTAATATGTCTATGTAGTTTAAATTTTTAGTTTGTTTGTTTTAGTTATTTTAGTAGGATACATGAAGTTAAACTTAAAGAAAACCCTTATAGAAAGCTGAACAGTATTTTGATATATAAACCTTTTTATGAATGTCTTTACTGTCACTGTTGATCAAATTCTTGTCTTTGCTAAATAAAGGTATTAATTCCTTAAATGTTTTTTTTTTTTGTTTGTTTGTTTTGTAAATACAGACCCCAAACTAAAGTGTATACACACACTCAAACTATTCATTTAAAGGCTCCTGTCACTTAGCTTTTGTGCAGAAAAAAAAACACTGTATTTAGCTTCAGTGTCCTGTTGTGCTACTTGAACAACCTTTGAAGAAACAATACTGCTAATGGGATTTCATCATTTCATTGTGATTAAGCGTAAATATTGCAATTCCTCTGTGTGAGGCATTGAGTGTAATGATGGACCTCCCAGCAGTCCTTCACACACACAAATAAATCACACAGCAGAGGGGAGCAGATTTCCACAGACGCAGCACAGCAGTGGATCTCATTCAAGGCGTGCTTGTCGCATGATGACTTTGTGATGGTGTGATGGTGCTTTTCCTAATCTTTAGGTTGAAGAACATGATGTTTACATGCAGAAGACATTATAGGGTTATGTGCCGTCACATTGTATAGATGGGGATTGAGTTACAGCACTGCCTGCGTTTTCTTTAAGTCTCTAAATGGAGAGTTTCTTTGTATGTATCAGTCATAAACATGATCATATTTTAAAATGGAGACCAATCAGATTCATTAAAGCTTTAGTGTTACAGAACAAGGACTATATCTCAGTATTATAAAGTTTGAGTCAAAAGTCTAATTACACAAGTGTGTTTTCTCTTCTAAAATAACAACAAAAAAAACTCTAGTAGGCCTATCTTAGTACTGTATGTCTGATAAAGCTGTTGGATAAACCTACATTGGCATTTAAATAAGTCAGCTATATCATTTACAAACATTGAGTTCTCAGGACAAGGGTATTTTTCATAAATGTCAGGTGGTTACATACTTGTTTTAATTTAATACAGTGTAATATTTACAGTAACAGTTACTGTTAGCCAAAAAAGGGTTTGATATTTTGTTGGCTTTTACATTCATGCTCTTTCTTAAACGGTATTGTTTCAGAATTGTTTAATGTTGCTGAAAAACACATGCTGATGCTGTTTAATGGCAGGTTCCTCTGTGACAACTTACCCCATATAATGTGACAACATGCACCGTTATTGGGGCACGTTGTCACAAAAGGTTAATGTGTGTTCAGTGAACTGTGTCTTTTCCTTGGGCGATATTGTTGGAAATTTTCAAAAATTTTTTTATGTAGCCAAATCTAAGTGTGTTCCTTTATGTGAATTAACTTTAAAATTAACTGTGAATTAACTTAGCTTAAATACTGACTGGAGTAAAAAGTGTTTTCCGCCCCAATACCACCAACACTTGTGAAGTGGAGAAATCAAAGTAAAATAGTCATTAGTAAAAAGCGTGACTGATCTAGCATCATTCGTCTTTATACAGTTTAAAGTAAACAGATATTGCAACTGAAGTAATAGTCTATAAAAAGTAATGCAATTTTTGTATTTGCAGAGGGTTGGACATTACTTTTACATAAAACTTGCATTAGTCTTACGTTAGTCTCACTCTATTGACTGTAATTAACGCTGTCATTCAGTTAATTGTATAATGCAGTTAGCAGTGGTCACTGGGCTGAGTGTTGACGTCAGGCTGATGATGCAGACGCGCGCTCCGCAGCTTCACTTTGAGCACTTCACTGTGTTCGTGCAATGAAACTCATGTGTGTCCCTCACCACAGACCAGTCACGCCAAATCTGAAGCGCAGATTGATAGTCGCAGAAGGTTTCATCTCGCATCAATCCATCCAGCATTGGATTACGTGTTAAATCCTCTGCACTGGGATTCAGTTTTGTTCCTCAGAAGATGCTCGCTTGTGGATCGCAGATTGGGGACTTTCGCGGAATTAAACGAGCTAAAGGTAAATCACTTTTGATTTATTTCTGAAGTGTAACCTTTGCGGCAGGTTTAAGTTTTCACCCCCTTTGAATAGTGAATCTATGTTGCATCTTTGTTCGTGTTTAAGTGTAAAAAGGAAGTTAAGTAAAAGCGACATTTATTCTGAGGATCATAATAGGTTATCCATACGGATTTGGACGTACACACTTTATTTTGGTGGAGAAAATAAGCAACAAAGTAAATCTTTTGGATTATACAGGTTACTCTTGCGAAAGACAACTCTTAAAAACAAGTTGAACGATTGCTTAACCTCAATCTTATCAATGCAGGAGTTTGTGAGGACAAAAAAAAGGACGTTATGTAAACATAAGTCGTATGCTTACAAAGGCAAATAGTAGCAAGTCGATTTTGTGTTCTGCATTTAAATATACGCCAAATGAAAGTAACATTAACATTTTATTTTATATTTGATTATAGAAAGAGCATAGTTTAAACACTAATATTATCTTGTAGTGATTTCCACAGTTTAAACTGAGTCCTGTCAGTTCTCTTTCTCTCCCCGCGCGCGTGGCACCAGAACTAATAAGGGATTCCTTTGTCGTTCAAATGTATCGATAGGTTTTAGCTGATCATTTACTCGCATATGCTTGCTTATTGTAACCTGCATTCTAGCTGTTCGGAACCTAATCGGAAAAGGTAGGTTGTCAGTCAACACAGAAGTTTTCACAGTTGTGTTTATTGTTGGTTATGTTGGTGTTTGATGTTGATGATTTCTTCTGTCACTTGTTATTTTGGTCACGCTGACTTCACACAACTGGATTTTTTATTTATTTATTTACATGAACTGTCTAAAACATAAGTGTTTATCACTCCTTCATATGTCTGATTGCAGCAAATTAAATGATACACCATTATTTAGACTAAAATATAGCCTATATGGTTCAGTGGCAGGAAATCACATCTGAAGTGATGATAATTTTAGAAGACAGTTCTTTTAACAAGACAATGAATAATTTACATTTAAGACCGTTTTGCCTTTCATATTTTTTTTTTCGGTGAATGAAAATAGCTCCAAAAGAAGTCAAGCCTCAAGTTTTGTGTGTCACTCATCAAAGCACAAGACTCCACATGCCTTCAAGATTGTTACCCTTAAATATGAATTAGCTTTCTGGAACATTATAAACAGTGTGAAATGGACTGAAGGACAGTTCAAATCTGACAATTCAAAACCTTTGTTTCCTGTGTACACAAAGTGTCTGTTAGCAGTGCACACCTTTGTTTCCTGTGTACACAAAGTGTCTGTTAGCAGTGCACAATTACAGCTTTGGAAGCCTCCTCAAAAATTGGCTGGACCACAGAGCGCCAATTTCATAATTTAAAATGTTTGCATTTGTGCTGTTGCAACATTTTATTTTTTGTTCTTGATTTTGTTTTTTATTTAGCCTATATTACTCATCCATTTAGAATGATGTGTTCTGTGTGCAACACCTGCACATTGTCCTACAAGTAATGCAGTCACTTTGGTCCAAAACAACTCTGAACCCACTTTCATTGTGCTTTTCAATGTACTGTATGAAGTCCCACAAAGAAAAGATGTCAGCATCCAGTTTGAGTTTTTTTGGGCTGCATGCGCCAACCAAGCAACTGCCATTGAGATGAATGGGAATGTTAATGGATAGCTCTATCCAGGTATTATAGACTTTTTTTGATCAAAATCAGCTTAATTGAGCAGATAACCAGCCAAGCTGGCAACACTCATTGCTTCTACGTCAGAGATGTGTATCTGGACTCAACATCTGCTTTGTCCTGGTACCTAAAAAAAACCTCAAACCTAAAAGAACACATGCTTACTGTGTTTGCAGTGTAAACATAAACCAGTCTAGATTGTTTTAATGCTTGAAGAGACCTGAAGTGGCTGTCGACCATCTGATGCATTCAGACATTTACAGGTTCTTCAGTTGGCTACAGCATCACATAGAAGCTGTTACAAGACAAGATTGTATTTCATAACAAGCAATTAAGTACTAGAGAAAAGGTATTTCGGTTCACAGGGTATAAACCTCAAGGCATGCTATACTAGAATAATTTTCTGTAATTTACATCTTATTTAAATTCACATGCTGTGACAGTATGTGACACAATGATTTCGTGTTGTTTCACTTATTTTCCCTTCTCATTGAAACCCAGACCTCCACATAGCCCTGAGGCGCACAGGCCTCGTCTGTCATGGATTTAGCTTATTATAGACCTTCAAGACAAGTTATATCTTGCATTTGCATCACTTTTTGTCAGCTGAACATGAAGGCTAAGTCTCCAATGTGGTATAATGATGGTAATGTGCGTAACTGGGGCCTTTCAGTTGTCCTTTATATGGTCATAAACTTCTCCACATGCCCTTATGGCATCATCCTTTTTCATGGGCATAGAAGCCATTTATATTTTCTTGACTTTGCCTAATTTAGCGAACATTCATGTTTGGAGAGAACACGCACACAAAAATGAACAAATGTGTTTTATATTTTCACGCCCAAACAAGTTCCAAGAGCCAAATGTAAACCAGGGCTTCAGATTAAGACATGTGAGCAATGGCACTAGTGCAACCAAGTCCTACAGACAGTAGCAGGAGACAAAACGCAAGTAAACAAACCCACCATGCACATAATTTGTTCAGTGCTGTACTGTTAATTTTGGGTTGCAATTGGTGTCCTACTTGAGAGTGTTTCACATAAGGCAGTGCTAATCGTTGGGCACACAAAAATTTAGTTGCACCAACATGAAAATTGGTTACATTTTGTGCACTCAAATATTTAGGCCTAAATTTAAGAGTCATGTATTTGGATTGCATATTGCATTTCCATCCATTTGGATTACACAGTTTTAACATAAATTAATAAACTCGTAATGCATATTCTCAGTCACACATAAATGAAACATAAGAAACAGGTAAGATTTCTGCATTCAAAAAAGCCATGGCATAGTTTATTATTAACTATTTGATATTAACTGTTTGATTTAAATGATTATAATTTCAAAATGCATTTATGCTGATTGCTTAGAATCAGCATTTTCATACAATTGTTCAAACAATTACATTTATTCAGCTAAAAAGTATGAACATAGTTAAAATATGGCTAGCTGTATAGGCAGCAATATACAGTTAGTTCAAATGTATGAGACTAAAAGAAATGATAATTATGTAAACCTGGACATTGTGTATTGAAAATGTATTCATTTTGTTAGTACTGATTTATGTATGACTGACAAACATGCATCATATTACGTTTATTCGTTTCATTATGTTAAAAGTGTTTCATTTATTTGGATTACAATTTTATGCAAATACTTTCAAATGCACTTATCTTAGGCCTAAATCTTAAATTTAGGCCTAAACATATATTTTTAATTAAATTTTTTTTTTTTAATTATTAATCATTTAAATTAATTAACTTTGTGTGTAATGGTCGTTTAGTAACAGTTCAAGGTAATTGTGGTGTGAAGCTGCACTGTGGGGTGTCAGAAAAAAAAACTATTTATACAAAATCTCAGCACTGGTTTAAAAGTGTTTCATTTATTTGGATTACAATTTTATGCAAATACTTTCAAATGCACAAATCTTAAATTTAGGCCTAAACATATATTTTTAATTAATTTATTTTTTTAAAATTATTAATCATTTAAATTAATTAACTTTGTGTGTAATGGTCGTTTAGTAACAGTTCAAGGTAATTGTGGTGTGAAGCTGCACTGTGGGGTGTCAGAAAAAAAAACTATTTATACAAAATCTCAGCACTGGTACACCTTTGTACCTTCCTAAATGTTTTTTTTTTAAGGCCTTTTTGGTTTTTAGACTTTGCTTGACTTTGCTTTGCTGTATTCAGCCTTTATTCGGACTCTTAAGTAGGGACTTAGCAGTCTGCATGGATGTGAACAAGAATCATCTATTTATAAGATTTGTTCACTACCAGTGTGAAGGAATGGATGCAAAGTGTGGAAACCACACTGCTTGGGGGAACTATAAAAATAGTTCATGGTTTAATCAGTATCCGTGCCTCTCTTCCTGGAGTGTAGATGCCATGGGCCGATATATCACATTGTGAGGTGGGAAGCATCACATTAAGTCTGTAATGTGTGTGTTTTTAGCATAGTGGGGTTTATTGTTGTTTTTCACCCTTGTGAATGCAGTTTTTTTCATTGCTCCCAGTCTGTGCCTAATATCAAGGATATATTTAGCACAACAGTTTACTCAACTTCATGTACTACTGTATAAAAATGGAATAAGTTCTCCCATTTAAGGCAGCAAAGAGGATGTTTTAAAAAGATCTTTCCCTGTCTGCTGAATCATAGGACCAAATCAGGTGACAGAGCAAAGGGTACGTGTAGAGGGGAAGATTGCATTCTCTGTACCATGCTTTTTGTCCAGACTCTGCACATTTTCCATTACAGTATGTCAAACAGAAAGAGCATTTGAGGCAAAGAAAAATGTCATAGTTGTATGTGCTTTGTTCATATTGCACCTAGTTCCGATTTGCTTTTCAAATCTGATCTTCTGGGATGACTGTCCAAAATAAAATCATATCTGTTTGTTCAGACAGTGTAGTCAGTATTTGTATTATGCTGACTTGTACATCAGTACAATACCAAGAGACATGAGAGAGTAGCTGTCTGTGTGGAAAGAGAACAGAAACGTTCATCACGAGATCTTGCTGTGTATAAAATCATTTACTTTTCTGATCTGACCTTTAGAATGAAACTCATTGTACACTCCAATTTTAATAAGATTTCAATTCACATACTAGTTTGGATTTGTTTCTAAAAATGTATATTTAAATGGATGTGAATAAGAGTCAGATATGACACACACATAAATTAATTGAAACAAAAATTTTCTTTTTTTCTAAACAAAGGCTAAAAATAGAGACTGTCCACATTTATACATGACTCAGTACTTAGTCTCACTTTAAAAACGTGCATGTGTCAAGATTTCTGCAAAATGATATGTTGCTTCTTGCACATTTCACGACA